TGTCTATAGGGCTTGGACAGGAGATAGCCTTTACCTCTTCAGGTGGATTAATGGGTGTTTTCAGAAAAGAATTCAGGGACCTGTGGAATTTGTTATCAAAGACTTGCATGTCCGACACTGGAGGGGACTGAGCAGGAACGTAAAACATTCCAGCTTTGGTCTCGGGAACCTAAAGTCTCAGTTTAGGCGGTTTTGGCTTAGGCCCTTTTGTTGCTTTAGCCATGGGTGTGCTTTTCTGCATACAGGAGTCAGTCTCAACATGCTTATCACCTGGTATATGAACTGCTGCCATCTATTGTAATTTCAACATGCCTATCGTTGTGTTTGGTGGTACTCTGAAAGCCCTGGGTATAGCTGATAATGTTTAGCTTTAATTTTAAAAAGTGAAAAGATTTGAAGTAGGCCTGACTGTTCTCTAAAGGCTGAGTAAAAGACAAGTAGAACCTCAAAATCATGAACATGTGTATGCGTCAGTCTTCTCATGAGTTCTTTGGGATGACTTGTTTTTCTCTCTGCCATTTGGGATTAGAAATAATTTGTCCAGGAATATGGTAGTTTGTTTGAATTCATTAAGATGCAGATGACATTTCCCATGCTTTCTTTATTTTTTTAATTGATTCTTACAAAGCAGAAGTACTTCGGTGAGCCTCATAGCAGCACTTTTGTTAAAGTGGGCTCATGGTTCTCTTTATTCTGGTCAGGATTTGGTTCCTATATGCCGTATTCTGCACCTGCATTGAAGTAGGCCCATACCCATGTGGTCACCTCTATCACTTTGTAATTTTACCTTCCATCACATTAACATTTACTGCTGTCTTTTACAGCATTCCCTTCACTAAAAACCCTAGAAAACCTACTAATGCTAATTACTTGCAAATAGTAATTGTAATTTTAATGGCAACCTCAGTAAATTGCTTTTTATGTACTGTAAGAAAATTGAAAACTAAGTGTCCACTTTGCTGTTTAATAAGAATCTCATAGAACAAGTAATAGTCCTTTCACTCCTTCCATCTAGTGGGAGCACGAATAAGAAGCTCTCAATATCCACTGAGAATCCCTTCCTGTGCACCATGGGGTTAATAGGAGTTGAGGAGGCAGCCAAAGGCTCAGTGGGTGCAGAAATGAAACAGAAATGGAAATGCAAGGAAGATGAAAGATTAAGGTGAAGAGTCTATAAAAGAGGGTGAAGCATAAGGAAGATTCCACAGGGCAGAGGAAGCCCTATTAAAACTTTAGAAACATCTCTGGATAAAAGACTGGAGCATTTGCCTGGCTTCTTTCTGGTGTTGTATGGGAGCTTGAGTCCAGAACTGTTGCAACTGTAACAACGTTGGGCCAGCGTGGGGGGGTTCACAAGATAAGAAATATCAAAGTGGTAACACCTTATACTGTAAGGCCTGTTTTTTCATCAGTAAAATGTTTTCAATCAGAAAAACATCTCACCTTGCATGCACAGGTTTCATGTGCTGTAGAAGAGCTGCAAGCTGGTCATCCATGTGGAGGTCGGTTAGTATCAGTCAGCCAATTATTGCTGCCTCAGAGTTTTTGCGCATAGTGTACAGCCAACTGCCTGGTAGGAGGATGCTTTTAGGCATCCTGACTCTATGGATGTTGGGAGCTGCTGCTTTCCCACCCAGGCAGTGGCTACTGGCTCTGGCTGTGTTCTCCCACGACTCCTGCCTGCAGCACATCAGGGTGGCACTCATAGCAGCTCCTGGTGACTTCTGCTGGGAGGCAGCACTCTGCTCTGCTGGGCCCCTTACTGCTGGTGGGAACCAGTGCCTCACACACAGGCATGAGGCATCACTTATCACCTGCCTGGAAGTAACCTCAGAGTCTGCAGTGATTTGACAGGAGTGGAGAGCTGCGTGGTTTGGCAGAGATTTCCAGAATGGGCCTAAGGCAAAGCAGACTTGGGAGAGAGGAAGCTTTGGGTGGGGAAGTGGTGGTGGGAAGGAATCATTACTTGTCCCAGGCTGCTGTTCTGACCCTCAATCCATATCCAAGTGCCCCAAGAGTGAGTGGAACTGAAAAAGGATCTCCTTACACAGACCTTTCCCAAAGGATACTGGCAGGAAAAGTAGCTCTGGATTAGATCCATTTGCTCTTAACGTAGTCAGTACCTAGTAAGAGCCAAACTCCTGCCTGTCTTAATAATTTAAGCTTTGCAGAACAGAAGCAGGGTGAAATTTTGACCTTATCTATTACTGCTGCGTAAGTAATCCCCAGAAACACTCTGAGTATTGTTAACTGTTTGTAGTTACCACAGGACTTAAGAATAATTATATTGTACTTTTGCAATAAAAATAAAGCATAAAGTGTGTTCTGGACTGTAAATTTTGCATTAAAACATGATTTAAAAGCTTGGGAGAAGCTGACATTAATAAGAAGAGTTGGTTTAGACAGTCTTGTTTAATTCAAATTCATCTCTCGTGCTGTATATCAGTCTTGCTTTTAAAAGCTAGAAATAATTTGTATAATGGGATGATAAATATGTCAGAAACAACAGCTAGGGACATATGTATCAAAACAGAAAAGGCAAGTGGCAAGCTACAGCCAGGGGTAGTTTTAGAAAAAAAACAACACACACCGAAAGACCTGGTCCATGTTCAGAGTTGGCATGTAGAGGAATGCGAGTCTTGGGTAGATGTAAACTGTATGAAAGATATGAATAAGTGTAACTATTGTTTATGAACAATTTGCACCTAATTCAACTTTCATCCAAGCTAACTTTCACTGTTCGTGTGGTCAGTGAAGTGGTTTGTGCTCTATTTTTTAAAAAGATTAAGCTGTCCCTTTTGTTTTTTGAGGTGTTCACAGTGCTTTTTAATTCTGTATCAGCATTTACTACATTTTGGACCCTTAATGGAAAACAGGTATATGATGATCAGCAAAGAGGTCCTTTATTACATCTTGGGTTTTCTTTTAAAGAAACTAATATATCATACAGTAAGCTTAGTCCTGTTTATAGTAAAATGCCCCATTCAGAGCTCTTCCACAGCATCTTGTTTTAAAGAGCTGAATTCAGCAGTTGACTCCCAGGCACAAATAATCATGTAATTACTCTGCAATCACATAGTAATTAGCATGTACTATTCATATATTGCATAATTATATGCCATGCAGATTACATAGTAATTATATTTATACATGTAATTCTATATGCTGTATTAAAAACCCCAAACTTTGAGAGCTTGTAGTTAAGATTATAATTGCATGCTAATGTAATACAACTTTTTGTATGAAAATGTTACAATTTCATGAGACGGTTGTATTTTGGTTATCTCATCTCTTCTGCATCTGGTGTTGCTTAAACTGTGGTAGGCTGCTATTATAAGAAATGCTTGGCTCTGTTAATTTATAGTCAAATGTTGCATGTTTATAACTTTGTAATTTGTGGAGATAAGAAGCAAAGAATTGCAGTTTGTTGTGCAAGAAACTGGGATTGGGAAGGACTTGTAGTGTAAATGTTAAGTGTCCAAAGGTTAAATGTAAAACCCACTGAACATAGATAGGGCATATTGCTAGAGTGAAAAACAAATCTAATGCTACCTATCCCTGGATAGGTGAGATACATGGAATAGTAGCAGGTGATAAACTTGTGTGATGTGAAATGTGTGCTTGCACCGAGGCGCATCTTGGGCACAGTCAGTTCAGGCGATTGCAGTACCTCAGGGCAGCGTGTCAGCTGAGCTACACCATCTTTTCCTGCCACGGGAAAAGATAAAAGGTTGATGCCCTGATCTGGGAATGGGAGGCAAAGTGGTAGGAGGATGGAGAAGAGTGGCACTGAGTTGTAGAAAGGCCTTGGACTGACTATTTGGTAAAAGGTGGAAGATCTAGGAAAAAAAAAGCTTTTTTTAGAGGGGAACTTAGAGTTTTAGATCATTTGAGATGCTTTATGTTTGGCCAGCCCCCCTAAGAGGTTGCTGTAGAGTTTTAGATATTTGCAAAATGTTTTGTTCAGCTTGCAAATTCTGTAGCAATGGAAAGGTAGTGTATTTTCTTGGATCTGTGATGTTGGCATTCCTAATATCCAAAGCAGCATTATGATTATTTTTAATTGAATTTTGCATTCTAATGCCAATTGCCTTCATTTTCAAGCAAAGCATATATTGAGTTTTAGTGTCTGGATAATGTATTGCAAAATTAAATGTGTAATTATAGTCTTAACTTTTACCTGAGTTTAATTATTTCTGTAACTTCTTGTAACGTGTGCATGTGTGTGTGAGAGGGAGACATGCTCTTTGGTTTAAATTTTTTTTCCACAGTCACTTATTATTTCTACATCAGCTTCTTCAAAGACTGTAACTTCAAAAAAAACTTCCAGGGTTCAGGTGGCATCTATATATCTTATAAAAGTGTCTTTAACTGAGCAGGGAACTTACAGGCCTTGTGGGTGGCCTTAGCTCATAGTCATGGGCTGCACCTGCTTTCCTTTGTGTCTGGGTGGGCTGTTTTCATACCTCAAAAACTGTGGTAACAGGCATGTGGCTTTTACGTTCTGCAGAGTACACAGATTACATTGGTATGTTGTTACCTGGTGTAGATGCTGAATGTCATTTGTACTGTTCAAGGAAAAAATAAAGTCAGAGCTTTACAAAACCAGAGTTAGGAGCCTACGTTCTCACTGTGTCCTTGTGCAATGGGCCACACGTATCCCTTCTAATTTACCAGCGATTTTAATAGGTTTTTAGTGAGGCCAAGTCTTACCGAGTATTCATCCTGCATGTCTGTGACAGAGAAGATGACGTACAGCCCGCCCAGTGTAATCATCGTTTATTTGCCAGCATTCTGATCTTAACGCATGCCTGTGCTCTTGTTCACTTGTTAAACCATTACCCTGAGAAACAAAAGGACTGGTCACAGTTTCTGGCGCTGAAAGTTTTGTATGTAACAAATATATAATCAGGATCTCATTAACAGTGAAATAAACACAAACTTCAAAACACAATATAAATGTGACGCATTTCTTACTGCTGTTGTGTTGTTTTTTCTAGTGGAGCCAGTACTTTCAAAGGGGAACAATTGCTTGGATGCAGCAAAAGCTTGTAACCTAAATGATACCTGCAAGAGGTTCAGATCTGCTTACATAACCCCCTGCACCAGCAGCACGTCTAATGAAATCTGTAACAAGCGGAAGTGTCATAAGGCCCTCCGGCTATTTTTTGACAAAGTTCCCCCAAAGCACAGCTACGGGATGCTCTTCTGCTCCTGTCGAGACGTAGCCTGTACAGAAAGGAGACGGCAGACTATTGTTCCTGTGTGTTCATATGAGGACAGGGAGAAACCAAACTGCCTGAATTTACAAGAATCCTGCAAGAAGAATTACATCTGCAGGTAAGATAGCACATGGCAGGGGAGTGATTAATGAGGTACCAGAGAGAATTTTTTGGTACAGCTGGATTTGCCAGGACTAAGGGCCAGAATATCCATTAGGGAAATGGATGAGTCAGGGGAAAAAGAACGTCTTAACAGAGTAACAAAAGCCTGCATCTGGTTACAGCATGTGCCTTCTCCAAAACTGTTCACAGCTACTCCCTCGCATTACGGAGGAGTCTTTACACCCCCATTTTAATTTGTACAGATTTTTGTTGGAAACATTATCGTTAGGTGTCTGTATGAAATGGTGTCTCAGAATGATTTTTATGTCCCATTACTGATCAGGTGAAAATAGACTTATTCATTATAATGGGATTTATTTTCATTGTAACCTTACATCTGAGCACTAACTGTGAATACAGGCCACATGTTGGACTTCATAAATGATCACAATACAGAGACTACTGGTGGGTTTTTTCTTCATTGGAAGAAAAGGAGTCCATGCTTGAAGACTAGATCCCACTATCTTTGTGGAGCTGTTTTAGCCTTGGAATTGTTTTATCTCCCCTCCCCTGACAAGAGTGCTGGGCTGATACAACTGGAGGGTCATTGATTCACTGACCTAATTCCCAGCCTCTTTCCCCTGCGTGTTCAGCCCCGAGAGGCAGTGCAGAGCACTGCTTCACTGAACGAACTGGGCCCTTTCGCTTTCATGGAGTTCCCAGCAGGTTATTGCACAATGCTTATTCAGTGGCACACAGGGCCTCCTCTGCCCTTAGGGAATGCTTTATTCCTACTTAGCATTGTGTACATTTATATTAGAATGTTGTTGTGCTAATGTCATATTTATGAAGTTATTATGCCCAAGAATCTTGCTTGTTTCTAATGTGTAAATTCCTTGTAGATTATCCAATTCTATACATTAGCAAGCAAAGAAATAAACAAACAGTATTGTAAAATGTCAAGGACACTGAAGTTATGATATAAATCTTAATAAATACTTACACATGCCTGGTAAAATATTTACTTTGAAGTTTGCTTACGAGATCTCCACTGCTAATCTTAACTGTTTAGCCATAGCACCTCAGATGTGCCCGAGTGTTGTTCGAGGCGGGGGGGGCGCGAGGCGAGCAGCGCCCTGCCCTTGATGGCTTGGGGGGATTTTTTTTTCCTGCTGACCCAAATTAGAGCAGATTTAAATCAGAGCAGGTTCTCATTTCAGTCTAGTGAGTTGCATTCAGCACCTTGATAGCTGATGCTACTGCAGTTTGTGAAAGCTGGATACATGTAGTCTCAGAACTACTTGCTTTCCATTTCCATGTGGTGCCATTAGTTTTTTTGCTTATATATATTGTCTTCCTTATACACAGACTGTGTTAATTAGTAGAGTTACATTATCTTTACTGTGTTTTCTGCCAAACTTCCAGTGTGTTACAGTGCCAATGAAATGGGAGAGAGGATTTTATATGGAGACTCCTTCCTATTATTCAGGAGATAGTGTTCAGGAATTACTTAGTTAAATTAATGCCATTACTTCTCTCATGACTGTGTTTTCCTTTGGTCAGCTTTGAGCTAATGTTGTCTCAGCAGCTAAGTTTTTAATGGCATTTTGTTTAATTTGACTTCACAAGTCTGGTGTGTTTTCTCCATTGCAATGCTGCAGAGGAAAGCTTGGTGAAGGCTCTGCTCCTGTGCCTTAAGTTGCAGCCAGCACTGGGGTGAAAATGGATTTCTTTACAGGTTCTTCTCGTGGATTCTTTTGCTTTAAAATGCCAAAATTAAAGAGCTTGGACTCTTAAAAGGCTCAGCGAGACCTGGCTGTGAGCGCAAGGGGCAGCACTGGTACAAGGAACTGGTGGGCAAACGCCTGCAGGGTCTAGGGCAGAGTCAGTGAGTGCAGCACTTGAGTCCTATGCCTGGAGGTAAAGCAAGCTTGATGTGTTGCTGAGAGTCATCTCGTGTAGGTGTTACTATCTCCCTGGGCTGTCTAAACTGCTAAGTGTATTTAATACCTTCCCTCTCTACTGTCAGGGAGAGGAGCAGCAGAGCTATTCCAGCCTATCCATAATTTGGCGAAAGACATTTTGTCTCAACTTGTTGTGCACTTAGAGAGAGCTGGTGTGATTTGTTCCCCTTGTCCTGTAGGAAAACAGGGACTGGGGCAGGGGATGAAAGAAAGGGGAGATCTCCTCCCTGCTATCAGAAGTATTGGCACTGGTAAATATCAGTCTATATAACAATTCCAGATATATTTAGAATAATAGAAAGCAGTAGTCAGTAGGCATATAATTCCAGCTCTGATAACTTCTATTTCATTTTGAAATCAGAACAAGTATCTAAAGGGGAGAATAATTTGAGAATATGCTCTGCCTATTGTGAAACATAGTCATTTAGAAACTATTATTTGCATGCCTCTAACATCTATTAAAACTTCTTCATAATGCTAGTTAAGACAAGGGAGCAAGTTCTAAAGGGTTTCTGAATGTACACTCACAAATGGTTTATGAATGCTGCTTAATCAAAAAAGCAAGATTTGAATCTGCCCATACTCTGTGTAAAGTATCAGCTAGGCCTGTGCAAACAAGTATTTAAACATTCAGTTTTGGATGCTCTTTAAAAGCTTTGTCCTGGATGCATACATCACTGAATCTGTTTTTAAAAGAGTTAAGAGCGGGGAAGCAATTTGGCCAAAGTGCAGGTACCACTAACTGAGATGGCAGAATGCTTATTTTTTTTTCTTTTCTATTCATTGATCTATCTGTTATATAACATAACCTCTCGATTGAGGGAAAAAGAGACCAGAAATGTCAGGAAATGCAAATAAGTTCTGACTTATGTAAACAGTCCTAATTTTTCAACTTCATCGGGATACTGAATGGTTCACTTTCATTATCATTTTTCTGCTGCCTCTACTTGTATCCCAGTCCATATCCAGCTTTGAAACCCATTGGAGTCTCTCAGGCATGCCTGTCAATGCTCACTGAAAAGAAAAGAAAAAAAACCCAAACCAAAACAAAAAAAAAGACATTAGAATTCCTTTTTATTATGAATATAAACAAAACTGATAAGGAAAGTCAATATACTGTCAAAAACTTTCACCAATGATGTTTTCCTGGAATAGCTCAAACCTCTGTGGAACCCCCTGTTCTGATCACCAATTAAACTTCAGAAAGTTGGCTGGCATGTTTTAAAAATGTCATTCAGCTGTAAATGCAGGGCAGTGTGCTTCATTTTTGCCACTATCACATTTAACAGTGTTTCAGATATTATTTTCTTTGAATAATGAAAGTGTGAGTCATTAGCTTGGTCCTTTTAATAATCTGCGTTTTGAATTTGCATACTACCTGTCTCTCCTGGATGTGTTCAGAAGGCGCTGACCAGAATGATAATGATACAGACACATTATTTATTAAAAAACAGTATCAATCCAGTCACTTGCTGCAAAGATCTGAGAAGAACGGTGGCATAAGAGGCATTTTTTCTTAATGTAAGAATCTAGTAACAGCATGTTTCTTGTCCTCCACAATTACTGTATTCAAAATGGTTTGTCAGTTCATCGAGGCTCATTTTTAAGGTGAAATACCCAGAAAGTAGTTCTTGACTAATTTCAGAAGACAGCTGTTTTGACCTTTTTTTTTTTTTTTTGGCTGAAATAAATACTATTCTTATTGTTTTGCCTTTAGTTCTGTAAAAAGCACATGTTGCTGGTTACAGCTATTTGATACTGAAAAAAAAAGTTAGAATGGCTGCATAATATATTTAAATATCTTTTCCTCGTGGGATGACTGAAGGGTAATAATGAAATGTCCTATTATGTTTCAGTAGATGGATCATCTCCCTGAAAATACAATAAAGATATTTTTGGCACTGTGTATTCAGAGGGCTAAATCTTTATACATGTGCTTTCATTGGTGTGTTCTTACCTTTTGACCAGTTTCTAATCACCCATCCAGTCCAGTTTTAACCTTGTTGCAACCACTTTTTCAGCTCTGTGTGAAAGGTACCCGCACGTACAGGTATAAGAACACTGATGTTATAATGCAAACATTTTCATCAGTGCGTAAAAGAGTTTATCCACAGTAAAAGCTAGAACAAAAGCTCAGCTGCTTGCTATGTTTCCTGAGAACATAATAAACTTGCCAAGAAATTAATTTTCTCCTTTATATTCTGTTGAACATTTTAAGTTAGTTTACTATGGAAAGGGAGGTACTGTATCTGTGCTTCTTTTCCATAAGGCATGTGCAGTCTCCAAGTGCTTTATACCTGTACCTGTTTGTAAAAGTGTCTTCCTCGTAAGACGACTGGGCTGATCCTGCAACATGTACCTTTACTGACTGAAAACCGTACACCCTCGTGGATAAGATTAGCCAGAGGACGGGGGTTAAACACTGTAGGAAAGTGTTTGATGAGATGTTATAAATGTGCAGTAAGCCTTTTTTGTCCTGCTATAGCAGAGGGGGAGCCCAGCACCTTGTGTTAGGAGGGCACCTTCTTCAGTTACAGCATTAACAGGTAGCAGGGAGGAGTGCACTAAAGGGTTGTGTGGGGGGACAGGGAAGAGGGGAAGAAGAAATATGCCATTTTCCTAAAATTGTCTGTTCCTTATAGACTTACCTTTAATTTTTCTCACT